CCCCAAAACCCCAAAACCCCAAAACCCCAAAACCCCTATTAAAAATTTAGAATTTGAAATATTTAAAATGTCGAAAAAGAGTCTTAAAAATGGAGGTACCCATCCTCCTGCCAAGAGTAATGAGCCCCAGGGTGTATTCAAGCTAAACAAAGGTATCATCCTCACTTGTAGAAAGATCTATGACAATTCTGCAGAGGAAGAAAAGTTAATGAATATTGAAAACTACATGCATTTCGCTACTTTGATTCACAAGATCAATCTTTTCTTGCTTGAATACAAGAATATCTCAGCTGTCAAGAACATCTTAGATATTGTCTACTCTGAAGAACTGTTAACGAGAATAGTTGATTTTGTAACAAACACTGAGTACTTTTGTAACTTTGGGCTCAGACTTTTGGAACATTTCTGTATTCTACCAAAAGCCAGGGAATATCTCGAAAACAGTGAGGTTATATATGTAATCTTTGGACTACTCAGAACTAATGATAATGAAACTATTGTCAGCGCTATTTCTTTCCTCTCTATCCTCTTGAACCCTTCAAATGTGAGCAAAATATTGAGTAAAGCAAGAATTTTACCTATTTTGATAAAATTATTAAAGACAAAGGAAATAGAATACTTTTGCGGAGATATTCTCGATACTATTCTTGCTGCTAAGGATGCTAAACTTCATAGAAGAACATTGCTGAAGGAAGGAGTCATTGAAATCCTTCAGTCCATCGAAGAATATGAGGACTTCATTATGCTTCCCAGAATTGTAAAGAAATGTAACAGGATTAGAAGAGAGCTAGAAATCTTGAAACAAGTTATTGAAAGCAAAGAGTAAAGATCATTAATCCTTAATATTTGTATAAAAAGTTACTCTAATCTCTACTTGTTATGGATTCTATGGATTTCTTAAGTTTTAGTTTTATGCCTCGTGGGGGTCTGATCTCATTCACATGAGCCCATAGTGCTCTCCCAGGGTCATCACTACCTTTGCATTTTTCAAAATGTTTTCTAGTTAAATCATTTGATCTCCTGAGACTGAAATGCCAATTGTTAACACCAAATTGGTTTTCCGTTTCTCCATCACATTTTTTGTTATACTTCTTACTAAATTGATCTGAAATTTGGAGCAGAGAGTACGGTTCTTTTAGCTTAATTGAATGCTTTCATTTTTCTGTCTAAATATGCTTTTGAAATGCAAGAAGGGGATAAAATTTGTAAGAAAATAGTTAGTTATCCAAAATTTTAAGCCTCGCCTCTCTTCTCATAACCCAAACATGCTCTAAATCCCGCTGTCTTCCCCTAACTTACCCATAAAATTGCCCCAAAAATGCTTCATGGCCTTCATACTCTCCTTGTTCCGTTCAAACCTTGTCTGTTTCAGGGTCTCCTGAAACACCTGCTGCTTGCAGGTGCTAGGCCTTTTGGAGAAGGCAGACACCTTGGGTGACTGCACCTGAGCAGCTGAGTTGCAGCCACATGTCTTTTTACGACGCCTAGGAAGACTATTACTGAAGCAACCAGGGCTGAAAGCTTTGTTAGTCAAATTTGGATTTGACATCTCTTCAACAACTATCTTGTTCCTATCTTTCTTAACTCCAAAAGGAAATCCATGTGATGCTCGTGTCCGGCTTTGAGAAGTTTGAGTGGTTTTTCGGGCCTTTGGGCTACGTATTTTGAGAAATGAAGCTCGTGAGCTCCCTTTTCGACTACGAACAGAGGGAGAGTTATTGATAAAGGAACTGGGAGCGTGTTTACCCTTTAGCTGGGTATAAGTTTCTTCTTGCTTTCTCTTGCTGCTAATTCTTTTAAGCTCTTGAGTAAAGTCAGTGGGAGTCATAGCCCGGTCAATATGCAAATTAGTGATATAATTCTCAGGGCCGATGTAAGATCTCTTTATGCATTTCCCAGACTGATCAAACATAATTCATGAAGGACTAGTTGTTCGTTGAAAGTAATTATTTTGAGTAAAGTTTTCCTTATCCAAACTTTGAATAAACTCCTTTGAAACTTGCCCAGATGGTTTACTTAGACTTCGTCCGAGACTTTATTCTCTTCCCTAAAGACTTCGCTATCAGCATCCTCCTCCTAATATGGCTTTGTTTCGAACAAGTGGCTGGTCTTTCCGCTTTCTGCATTCCTAACTGTAATATATAATTTTTTCTTAAATTTTATATTTTCTCCTAATATTTTAATTCAGTTAATCATCTCCCAAAAGGGGTTTTGGGGTTTTGGGGTTTTGGGG